CAATGCCCCCTCCCGCCCCTGAACGCAGGGAGCCAGCCGGGTTGGGATACAGTGTGTTCAAGGGGCTGACCGCTCTGGAACGCACTGTTTGTTGTGTGAACCGACCCAAAAAGTTGAACTCCGAGCAAATAAAAAATGACATTTTGTCATAATTGTGCGTTAATTAAAAACAAACTACATGTGTTTAAAATACTGTTGATACTGTTACCTTAAACCTGTTGTTATATTAGCTTCCCTTATTTCCTGGCACACCAAAGAACAGACTGATAAAAGAAGGGCCAGCAGGGTGTACCAATACAGCTCTATTGCATGGCAAAGAGCTATCAGTCTAACACTGTGAACATGCTTACAGGAGAGTCATGCCCAAGTAATACTTCATCAGTATACTATTGTTCCTTTGCTGTCCAGAGATGAGGCCAGAAATGTGGTGGCCATTATTCCCCACTGTCCCAGATCACATGGGGTAGTACCATTATGTACGCATGTCTGACTGCTGTCATTGATCTCTATAGGTGACAGTCGGGGGTGGGAGTTTGTGTAACAGAACAGTTAGCGTGTTGTATATCTCTAACGTTTCCTGGAAAATATGAGACACCGTGAACGTTGTTAGTATGTGTACTGAGAGTCTTAAGCGTGGACAGGACAATGAAACGCTGGCATCTTGTTATATTTAGGGGGAAAGATAATCAAAAACAACTTCCAGCCCACATTGATTTGTTTTCTTCTCAATACCCCAGGGAAGGACTCGCCATGTCTGAAGCTTATTTCTTAACAACTCCCCACAGACAGACCGTAGCAGGTGCTGTGAGATCCATCTCCATCCCCCCCCCCCCCCCCCCTCAATCAACTGCTCCCTTTTATTTTAGATGGGGGGAGGAGTGAGCAAGGGGAAGAGAGAGAAAGAGAGAGAGAAGAAAAAGAAAGATGGGGAGAGAGAGAAGAAAAAGAAAGATGGGGGAGATAGAGAGAGAGAGAGAGAGAGAGAAAGAAAGAAAAAAAGAAAGGGGATAGATATAGGAAGAGAGAGGGAGAGCAAAGGGAGGGGGGAGAGTGAGGAAGAGAGAGAGAGAGAGAGAGAGAGAAATGTAGAGAGGGGAAGAAAGGGGATAGATATAGGAAGAGAGAGAGAGAGAGAGAGAGAGATGGTGAAGCAGGAGGAGAGAGGGAACACAGAGAGAGAGAGAGATTGTGAAGGAGAAGGAGAGAGGGAACACAGAGAGAGAGAGGGAGAGAGAGAGAGATGGTGAAGGAGGAGAGAGGGAACACAGAGAGAGAGAGAGAGAGAGAGAGAAGGAGAGAGGGAACAGAGAGAGAGATAGGGGGAAGGAGGAGGAGAGAGAGGGGGAGGAGGAGAGAGAGGGGGAGGAGGAGAGAGAGGGGGAGGAGGAGAGAGGGGGGGAGGCCATAGGAGATACAATGGCAATTGTTGAATAATTTAGAATCATATATAATATAAAACATTCAGATTTATGTTTTACATAAAATACATTCTCATTTTATATCCTTCATGTAACTAGTCTGGATGCCCCAAGAAATGTGGCCCACCGCACAGCCACTTTAATTAGTGTAACCCCATTATTCCTGTAGAGGGGTTGGAGGGAGAAGGAAGCCATCTGCTCGCCCTATAAATCAGCTGTGAAAAGTCCTAAACGGCTTCTAGAGATGATGACATTGTTATGCAGGGGCAGCTACTCACAGTGAGGGGCAGGAGGTCACCACCATTGTGACAGACAATGCCTACACTCCTTTATGGACACATGAATGGCCTGGATGCCATGCATCAATGTAACCAGTCCAGTCATTTATTATTTTTTTCACCAAAATGTTATTTATTGGCACCTTGCATCGTTGGAGAAACACCAGCCCAGCAAATATGCACTTTGCCATTATGTACATTGGCTTTTCACTTTGTTCTGTTTGCAACCAACATGTCATGAACCTGTTATCATCGAAGACAAATCTCAGGGCTGCACTGAGGCAGACATGATTGGAGGCCATAATCACACATATGTGCATGATTTCTCGGAGGAGGGGGGGAGGGCTGAGTGAGCTGAGGTAATGCCCTGTGGAGGTGAGCCGGAGGACAGTCTCGCTGTCACTGATGGGACCATGACAGAACGTTGCCCTGGGAATAAACATTTTCCCGCCCGTGGGGACGTTTCCTGATTGGCCAGGGATCTCGGGACACCGTGTGCGCGCTCAGCCTCCACCCTGAGGGCGCGCCGCCGCTAACTGGCACAGCCTATTCATTCAATGGCAGATGCTAGAGAGCGGCCAGTATCGCGATCCCGAGCCTCCCCGCGCCCCCCACAACACGTTCATCTGCCCTCATCATACACCCATACAGATAAAATACACCCACGGGCGTTCACAACGTAAAAAAATGACAATTAAAAAAAATCACTACCGCAAGGCGTGCTATGTCTGTACCGCACGCTATTTACCACGGCACTGCACCGTTACCGTTCACAGCCAATAGCAACCGATGTGAACATGGCCAGGTTCTGCAAGGAGGAGGACATGATCCCCTCTACCGTGCATGACAGAATACCATGAGGACATTCTCAGCCTGACATTATCTGCCCTCAATGGCTCTGCACCCAGATGAGGGGCTGACAGGGCTCCATCACTGGGGGTGGCTATGGCAGCTCAATGAACGCCTATTACATAAAAAGTGCAAGTATCTATGAGGGAGGAAGGGAGGGGAGAAGGGAAGGGAGAAGGGAAGGTAGAGGAGATAGAGGGATTGAGGAAGGGAAAGGAGATTGGGGAAGGGAGAGGAGGGGGGAATAGAGAGGAGAAAGAGATGGAAGAAAAAGGACAGAGAGAAGGGACAGGAGAAAGGACGGAAGAGAGAATGGAAATGGAGGGAAGAGAGAATGGAGAAGAGAGGAGGAAAGGAGGGGGAGGGAAGGGAGATGAGAGAAGGAAGGGAAAGAGAGGGAAGAAGAGACCAATGCCTACTGTGGAGTAGAGGGAGGGAAGGGGGAGAGAGTGCAAATGTCTACTGGGGCATCTCAGCAGCATCAGCACTGTAGTAGTAGTCAATGATCACACACTATAGATAGGCAGGTACATATATGAAAGAGGGCGTGCAAAGGTCTAGATAGATAGAAAGATGGATGAGAGAGTGCAAATGTCTGCTCGGGCATCTTGGCACCATAGCAGTGGTCAGTGATGGCCCTATATAATAATCTATAGACTGATGGATGTGTACTGGGGCATCTCAGCACCATAGTAGTGGTCAATAATTGCCCTATAGACTGATGGACATGTACTGGGGCATCTCAGAACCATAGCAGTGGTCAATGATGGCCCTATAGACTGATGGACATGTACTGGGGCATCTCAGAAAATAGCAGTGGTCCATGATGGCCCTATAGACTGATGGACATGCACTGGGGTATCTCAGCACCATAGCAGTGGTCCATGATCACCCTATAGACTGATATACATGCACTGGGGTATCTCAGCACCATAGCAGTGGTCAATGATGGCCCTATAGACTGATGGACATGTACTGGGGCATCTCAGAAAATAGCAGTGGTCCATGATGGCCATATAGACTGATGGACATGCACCGGGGTATCTCAGAACCATAGCAGTGGTCAATGATGGCGCTATAGACTGGTGGACATGTACTGGGGCATCTCAGCACCATAGCAGTTGTCAATGATGGCCCTATAGACTGATGGACGTGTACTGGGGCATCTCAGCACCATAGCAGTTGTCAATGATGGCCCTATAGACTGATGGACGTGTACTGGGGCATCTCAGCGCCATAGCAGTTGTCAATGATGGCCCTATAGACTGATGGACGTGTACTGGGGCATCTCAGCGCCATAGCAGTTGTCAATGATGGCCCTATAGACTGATGGACATGTACTAAGGAATCTCAGCACCATTGGCACTGTAGCAGGGATCACACACTTTTCATATAGATCCCCCCCCCCCCCAATTGGGGGCTGCTCAGAAGAAAAGCACCTTGCACCGCCACACACCTACAGATTCCATAAGCAAATCACTGAAGCATTGAGTCCATCACATCAGATATGAGAAGCATTTTCCAGAGCTTGCACACGATGGTGATTGCAGGCAGTGCATGGAAGGCACGCTGCAGCCATCAAACCTGCCTGCAAACAAATATATGTTGATGTATGAGATGGGAGGGGGTGAGCCCATCTCCAGCCTCCCTCTCCCTCTTTCTTGTTAGCTGGGTACCATTACAGTCTCCTAACCACAAACTTCACATTCCTGAGCCATGCAGTAAAAGCCATTCTTAACACAAGAATCAGATAGTTTGTGCCACAGCAAACATTCCATGTTACTATTTACTGCATCCCCGTCCCAAATCCTTCATTTGAAAGCCACATCACATAGGCAAGCTCTGATTTTTTTTTTTTTTGTGACCCAAAGATGAAATTCGATCTAAATTCCTGAATGTGGACTGGAGACATAGAAGTTCCCTTGGTTGAGGATGCATTTAGGGCAAGTGAAATAAAGGAGATTACCCTCCACCACCTCTACCACCACCACCATCACCTCCTCCTCTTTGCAAATCACGTTCTGCATGCACAATAATTATCACCATCCAAAGGAAGCATCAGATGCAATGGCAATGAATTGTCGGTCTAGTAATAATGTTTATGGATCAGGAGGATACATTTGTGCTGCATAGATCGGCATTCATCAGCCTTGGTGTGAATGACACCTTACCCAGATATGAGAAGAGCTGTGCTAAAACAAAAGGGAGAAGCAGCCCAATCCCTTCGCTGCTTCCCTTCTGTTAGATACAACGAATTCAGAAGAAAAAAAAAACAAATCTACCGATGTTTAAAAACAGAAAACAAATCTTTTCTATACAAATAGATGGGAGGATATCACAACAAAGCACGAAGTAACAACACAATATCAGCTCCTTGTAAAGATCTGATCATCCTTTACACAGAGAAAACAAAAAACAAATCAGCAAATGCAATTGACAAAATAGAATAAAATACCTGCAGCTCCCAGGAAACATAAAGTCCAGATGAGATCCTTAGTGTGCAGCATTGTAAGTCTGCAGACAGAGGAATTTCTCCTGCTGCTCCTATTTAAATTGGGTCCAAAGATGAACATAGGCGTTTAAAATCCCCCTTTGTTGCAAAATGCTGTATTGGTGCAATGGTGTAAATGGGGTCTTGATGCTTTTTTTTCTCTTTCTTTCTTTTTGTTGTTGTTGCAGATTGTATTTTGCAAAAAGAATTCTATTATTCGAGTGGATTGCCAGCTGCTCAGTAAGCTGTGTGCAGGCACTGATCAGAGAATGAGTGACAGTCTGAGCCTCAGCACACCCCCAGCAAGCAGACCTGATCAATGCGCCCAGCCAGAAACTCCAAGTTGGTGTCTGGATGCGAGAGAACCCAACACCAGTATCCCTCCGCAGCCTCTGTACAAATATTACTGAGCATCCACCAAGCTCAGGGAGAGAGGGGGAGATTGGCGAGGATAGCAGATGCAGCTGTGTGCAAAAAATGGCGTGGACTTTCAGATCAGCTCCATCCTTTTGTGTAAAAATAAATCCAACAGCTTTAATAAACATTCCAGGGAAGAGTTAGGAATGGACAGAGCTCTGGATTAGTTCAGATACCAAAGAATGGGCAGAAATTATGTGTATTCTTTATTAAACGTTCAGATTTATTATGATAATCACAATGTATTATTAAGGGCTCATTCACACCAATAGCAGTGATTAGCGGGTTTTTTCAGCAACTGATCAATGCCGGTCGCTGCAACGTGAGCGTAAGATGCGCCGTGCAAAAAAATGCAATTGCGTGATCGCCAGTGACAATCACTCTTCATTCACTTCTATGACCTTAGATATAAATCGCTGAAGCAGAGTGCACCAACCCAGTGCTGTTGTACTAGTATAAATCATCAGCGACAAATTGCGTCTTAGCGGCAACCCACCAGCAATTCTAGCGTGTAAATCCCTAACTACAAATTGTGGGAATCGCTGTCATTACCGATTTGTAGAAGCCATACCTTGTAACCACTGGAACAAAATCGCCCATCTGACATCATCCTAAGGGTTCATGTGCACATCCATACAGCATGCACGCCCGAGCATAGGGTCAGGTGTGGCTTGGAATTGTGCGCAGCTGCCTATACATCCCTATGGGAGGATGCAGGTGCAAGCAGCTACACGCTGACCCGAACCTGTATGTATGTGTAGGTCTGGGTGCCCACACTTGGACACACGCTGCGACCAAGTGCGGACACCTGGACCTGCACAGATGTGCAGGTTCGGGTCAGCGCGTTGCCCGTTCCTCCCATAGGGATGTACAGACGGCTGCATGCAATCACACACTGCACCTCTCCCTTCAGCGAGAAGGTCTATGCACGCTGTACGGATGTGCGCACCCATGTGAATGAGCCCTTAGGCTGATGTCAGACAGGCGGTTTCTTTCCAGTGATTACGTGCACTGGTACTTTGTGTTGCCATTCATTTTGAATGGCACCCAACACATCTTTAGAATGCACATGTGTTGCAGGGCACAACAAAATACAGTCACACCCTACTTTGCATTGTGGTAGGCTGTGTTACAAAGACTGCAGCAGGTGTCATATGCTACATAAGGCATTGTGGTGCATTAGGTAGCCCATTGAAATGAATGGGCTATCTTAAAGCAACACACATTAACAGATGACATAAACGCACTGCAGCAAATCACCCTGGTGTGAATGGCTCCTAAGGATAGATACAGTAACTCCACAGTGCAAGCAGCTAGATAGGTCAATAATGGCTTGTTTTAGAGCTCTGTTACAATTTTCTAATAATACAGTATGAAAATACTTTAACACCAATAGTCTAGGCACTGGTGAACTTTTAAACTGATCTTCCAAACATTAAGGAATAAGAGGTGGCAGCGAAATGAACATGTCAATGGCTAGCCCGGCATGCTGGTGTGGGTAGTACCTCATCTACAGCACATGATCAGAAAATAAGTGGCTCATTTCTGAACTATTTGCTTTGTGGTTGCCGAGTAATTCTGTGTTTGAGTCACCTCAGTTCACCTCACTTCACACTTTGGTTCAAGCTTATTGCTTGTTAATTATAAGCAATTAAGGAAGAGGAACTGTATGAGAGACGGGCAACTCGAACTTTTACAAGTAGACATCAACAATGGCAACCTCCATGTTTTTCAGTATCGGTTTACTTGAAATAAGGTCTCTGAAGCAAAGATGGATCTTTTAAACCTTAAAAATACAATATTGTATATGCATTATGGTAGGGCTAGTCAACCTCGGCACTCCAGCTGCTGTGGAGCTACATAAGGCATTGGAAGGCTCTCACAGCCACAAGCATGATGGCATTTGTAGTTTCACCATAGCTGCAGTGCCAAAGTTGCCTACCCCTGCATTAGATAATCTATACCTGCCACTACTTACTGTATATGGCACCAGCAGACCTTGGCATACAGTTCTGAACATAGCTATTGCTCCCCCGTAGATAGCATAGGCACCAAAAGAGCCATTTGAGTGCAACATGTTCTTATGATATGGGCTCCTATGTCTTTGCACCGTTGTGGTAATATTTTTTTAAATACATATACACGTTGTTCTTCCAGTTGTTGGTCAAGGTTCTTTTAGAATGGTGCAGATATGGGACCTCATGTAATGCCACACAGCAGATTTTGCACACCAGATTTTTTGGGGGGAAATTTGTAGTGAACCGATTTGTAGAGTCAGATTATTTTTCATTTTTATTTAATCCCTTCATCTGACACTGGTGGCATCTGTTCATTGATTTGCTCACAAAAGGAATGTAGCAGCTAGAAGACAGTATCTGGCCATCCAGCAGTTCACTTAGAAGTTTGAAAAAACTCAAGATAAAGTGTAAAGCTGGTCATTCACAAACAGAATTTCATAAAAAAAAAAAAATGTGTTAGAACATTCATTCGTTTTTCAAATAGTTAATGGGGTCAAATAGACAATCATTTTCAATCATTTAAAATGCAGTGCTACTCCAGGTCAATCCACAAACACTCGCCCAGCCGATGCCAGCCCAGCTCCTATCTGGTCAATGTAGTAGAAATAACGAATAGTGGCACTCCAGATAAATTGCAGCTTCCATTTATTGTCATCAATAAGGCATTCCAGGAAAAACAATACGAGATCTTCTCTTACGCGTTTCTTGCAATCTTGCACTTAAACATAGGGTCGTTTTGAACCGTAGTGACGGAAGAAAATCCAAGGAGCAGTATGGAACATTTTTATCTCAGATTAATAACATTCTAACACCGAATGTGGATTTTGGTCAGGAAACTCCATTCATCCCAAAATTGAATTGTTGAATCCAGAGGCGCCCTTACAATTTTTGACACCTGAAGCAGGAGGGTTGGATGGGGGGCTGCTGGAAGTGCATGTTAGTGGTAGTGGTGTTAGCAGCACACATTATGGGGGGAAGGCACATTATCTCTGTTCAGCGCCCCCTCCAGCTCACTCATGTCCCTGGTTGCCAGGAGCTGGGTGGGGCGCCGATCAGAGTGTCACAGGTTGCTAAGAGCCTCCCCCCCACCTGACCCAATGAGATCATGCCTGAAGCATCAGGCTGCCACATTCTAGGGAAGGCTCTGGTTGAATCAAACAAACTTTTAAATTACATTTGTGATAGCGATATTGAGCGGCGAGATGTGAACAGCTCCATTGAAATGTATTGGAGAAGCTACATAGAGCGATATCGCGTGGAAATATGAGCGATATCGCTGCTAAAATCGCGCGATAAATCGCTCAGTGTGAATGGGGCCTAATGGTAAATCTGACCCTGGGGGGACTGGGTGGCCACCACTAAAAACTTATGAATCTCTGCATTGCATTTCTGGGCATGCCTCTTACCCACAGCTGTTTGTGCTTCATATTTCATATCTGAACTCAGGTTGATGGAAGATATGAGACTCAGAAAATGAGTGTAGTAACTGTAACCTCTTTATTGATACACTATAACGGGGGGTTCTGTCCACTCTCAGAGCTACAGTATAGCAGAGAGTGTGTACTGGGAACCTCCCCCAGCAAGGCTCACACCTGACACTAGTAATGGGCGCAGGCGCACTGTGCGCGCGTCCCTGTGCACGCGCAGCCCGTCCCCTTTTCTTCGGGAACAGAATGGGAAGGCTAAGATTTCTGTGTCCCTATTGCAGGTTTTCCCTTATTTTCTGTCTGGTGAAACCATTGTGAGCAGGCAAGGACGTGAGGATAAATCGCTCTAATTGAGCCCTAGGTAGCAGCAAAAAAAAATTCTGACGGGGTTCTCATCCTTCACCTCCTTATCAGAGTGCACCAGATACCCTCGGTCTAATCGTACGCAAACAGTTGTCAGCCACAATTGGGCATTTTTTTAGATGATTGCTATTGAGTTGCCTTGAGATAAGCTGGAACTACAGGTGTCTAGCCATTTTCTCCCTCCTACACTCATAGGCATAAACAGGCACACTTGGTCAATACTACATTGTGTAGTTGGCATAGTACTGCTTTTAGAAAACTGGACAGTCATAATAATGGCATAGCCCATTCATATGGCAATGACTGCAAAGAAGGATGAGCCTAAAAGAATGCAAGCTGTGTCTTTGTGCTTTCAAGGTTTTATAGCCATTTGCCCCGTGACTGTGTTTATGCCCTGTGCAGTTATTGTAAGGATCAATGACCCCTCAGCTCAGATGGAGGGATCTCATGTAAAAAAGCTTTAAATAGAAATTCCAGACAACAAATGTATCCAGTCTGAGCGCTACTAATGCTATCCAGCACATTGACTCTGTGAAAGATTGCTTTTTTTTTTCCTAAATGTTTTTCAGGTTTTGTTATGTTTGCACAATCCACAGCAGCCAGAAATCAGGCAGCACCTCACATGTTTACATGGGGCGCACTTCCTGTAGCCTGTGCTGTGCAAATTTCTTCTTTATTACTAATCACAGGAACACTTAAAAAAGGTTGGTACAGGCTACATTCACCTTTTGAACAAAATGGACCATGGCTAGGTTAGCAAGCACCAGATGTTCCACTAGGGATTGCTGGTCAGTTAACAGGAACCATATACACTAGCGTATCCACTGATGTGCATCACTAAGGAAGATGGTCATGCGTTTATATACACACCAGTGGCGTAACAATAACCATAGCGACCCATACGGTCGGTGTGGGGCCCAGGGCAGAGGGGTCAGAGAAGACCGGCTCCTGGCAGCAGCAGTGGCCGTGGTGGAGGAGGAGACTGGGGCTTGGCGGCAGTGGATGAGGAGGCTGGGCCCGGCAGCGGTGGCAGCAGTGGAGGAGGAGGCTGGGAGGTGGCAGTGGAGGGGAAGGGAGAGGAGGCGGCGGTGGTGGCGGAGGTGGCCGAGGAGGCAGGTGGCGGCAGAGGTGGAGGAGGCCAGGGCCCAGCAGGGATTAAGAGGTAAGAACAGAAAAAGGGGCCCCGACCAGCCCTCTGAGACCC